ACTCTGTATCTTTGCCATTGAGAGCAGTGCTGCAATAAACACATGGGTGCGAGCATCCCTTCGATACACAAATTTCTTCCTTTAGGTGGATACCAGTAGCGGGATTGCGGGACTCCTTGGTAGTTCTATTTTTTAGCTTTGTGAGAAATCCCCCTACTGTTTTTCCACGGCGGTTGTACTAATTCGTGTTCCCATCAGCAGTGTGTGAGCTCCCTTTTCTCCACATCCTTGCCAGCATCTGTTACTCTTTGTCTTTTTAATAATAGCCACTCTAACTGGAGTAAGATGGTATCTTGTGGGTTTGATTTGAATTTTCCTGAAGAGCGATGCTGAGCACTTTTTCTTCTACCTGTTGGCCATTTGTATGTCATCTTTTGAGAAATGTCTACCCATGTCCTCTGTATAGGACTTTCTCTGTATAATGATCGGCTACTGAGTTTGTCAGCCTGCCGGCCACCTGCTCATTGCTGAATGAAGGGAAACCATGGCAACCTGTGTTGATTCACCAGGTGCTACGACAAAGGCTTTCTGCAAGTCACCACCTTTAATTTTCCCAACTACCCCAGGGGTTAAGCTGTGCCAGGTGAGCAGAAGCTGAAAGAAAAGATTAGCACCTGGATGACACATCAGTGCTAATTTTACAGAGAAACAAAAATCCATGTAGAAGCATTAATGCATTATTAGTGTGGATTTTAAACCAAAGTAACACATAACCCACAAAGCTCTTGCACTGCTGAGATACCTGTTGGCCTGTACAGGATGGGGCTAGTTCTCATCTCTCTGGGAATAGATCAGAATGAAGCTGGGTATTGTTGGGAGAAAATGATTTAAAAGTTCCTAAATGGAACAATTTTCTCTTTTGACTTTCTCCGTGTAAGATGAAGCAAGGATTTAAAGCCAATTAAGCACCCTGTAATTTCAAATGCTGAGTACAAAAGAATTTCTTACCAGAATTATTTAAAAATGCTATAAGGTCTATCTAGATGCCTAATAAATTTGTCAAATTGAGTAGAATTAAAATTTCTTCAGGACCGTAATTCTGTGTTATAATAGTTAGGCTTATCCTGCTTGATTATTTAAATTAGGATTCCCCATTTGGGTTCCCAAATTCAATGGCCAAGATCAACAGCTAGAAAATTAAAGGCTGTGAAAATCCTGTCGGCTCCTGCCTCCAGATGGTCACACTTTGCCCTCGGTCATTAGGGTGAGGCGGGCGTCCCCTAAGTTGGTAAGTTGGATCACCCAGTGCTTGAAGTCCCATCTTGTTCCTTGTCTTGCCTGTTCCCCAAGCTGCAGGAGTCCCCACAATTGAGTACCCAGCAGGTGGGGGAGGGACATGAAGCATAGGACATGCCCCTGCTGTTGTCTTATGGAATTCTGAATATATTTTCCCATATAAGCATATGAGGCTTCAGGTCTATAAACTATTACCTGAGTTAGAACTCAAAGTGCATTTGAGTTCTCTGCAAACGGAGAACTGAAGGACCATAACAGAAATTTTTTATTTCTCATAAAGAAAATGAAATATTCTAAACAGCGGCACGAGGGTCAACTACATAGGTTAAAAAGCGTTCTAGAGTTGAACCTTCAGGAACTGAGTCTGCAGAAAATGCATTTCAAATTCAGATGCTCGGCCTGTGCTTATTTGTGATGCACAGTCATGTGTGTGCTAAGGTTGGCTTTCCCTGGGCCGGAGTGACAGGTACATGTTCTTTGGTAGAGAAGGAAGTGTCAGGCTGCTGTGGTGACAGTTTCTGTTATGGTCCCTCAGTTTTCTGTTTTGATCTTAATTTGGCTTCTCAAGGAAGCCTCCCTGCTGGGCAGATAATGAACAAAACGTTTTAGATGAGGACTCTGGTTCACTTGGCAGTTCTTTCTCATTAAAAATAAGCAAATGGAATTCTGGCTTATAAATAAGGCTCATGCGGGTTTGGTTCCTCACATCAACCTACACGGGCCTGGATGTTGCTGGAATGAGCTAAAAAAAAAAAAAAAAAAATCGGTCACCTGTCAGAACTTCGAAGATGGGAACCAAGCCCCGGACCCCCATCCCTATGTGATCACCACAAGGCCGTGGAGGTTTTTAAATTTGTTTGACAGTAATTCATTAAACCAAATACTTGTCTACACAGGAAGATACGGCAGTGAATTTGGCAGACAAGGCCCCCACCTCTTGGTATTCCCATTTTTGACTGGAGGGCGGGGGCAGGGTGGTGGAGACAAAGAGGTGAATAAGACAAGACTGGATACCAGTAAGTGTTGCTAAAGGAACAAAATAGGATGAGGGCTGGGGAGTATTTTTGCTGGGAGGAAGGGAGTTAAAAGTAGGGCAGCCTCTTTGAGGGGTAACATTGTAGCAGAGACTTGAAGAGTAAGGCTTGGGGGCATGCAAAGGTTTGAGGGACAGAGTCCTTTAAGAGTACAGCGAAGGGCACAAGGTAGGACATGCTGGGCATGTTAAAGGGTCAGATGTTAGTGTGGTCACAGTAGAGTGAGCAAGAAGGTGCTATCAGGAGATGAGATTCCAGAACGTAGGAAAAAAATTTCAATTTTATTCCAAGTGTTTCCTGGCCAGAATGATTCCTTGTTTACCTTATAGTATGATTAGGAGCTTATATCCCACAAGTTGGCTGTAGGAGTTGTTCTCCTGGCTTCATGATTCGTGTCACCCTGGGCAAGTCGCATAAGTTCCCTGTGCCTCAGTTTTGGCATCTATTAAATGGGAATGAACATCAGAGGGTTTTTGTCAGGTTTAAACAAGTTAAGATTAGAACAGGAATTGCTTACATAGCAATTGCTGACTTAGCGTGCACCACTGTAATCCATATCTATTGATTATGTAATTTCCACTCAACACTGCATTTTTGTCCTGTGAATGGTTCTCATTTATCCATTCCTCGGGCTTTGTACAGTTCTTTCTCAGGTAGGGAATGTTTCCAATCTGAGTCAGATTTACTCTGCTTAAAAACCCTAGAATGGCTTCCACTGCCCTCAGATAAAATCCAGTATTTGCCTTAGAAAGCCCGCTCCAGCCTGGGCCTGGTCTACCACTGACTTCTGTTCCTGCTTCTCTGCCGCCCACCGCTCACTCCATGTAGCCACGCTGACCACACGGATGTTCCTGGAACCCCAGGACGCTCTCTGCTCCCTTAGGGCCTTCACGGTCCTGTTCTCTTGATGGAAAGCCCTTGCCGTCCATCCTCGTTCTTACCAAATGTCCTCGCCTTTAAAATTGGAAGAGGCAGACCCTGCAGACAAGGAAGCTGTCAAGAAGCAGAGATTTAGAAAACAAAAGAGCAAAACCAAAGCACAAAACACCCAATTGGAGCTGTTGACTATGGGCAGTAAACACAGGATCGTGTCACAGAAGTCACTCGGCCATGTACGTGGCTCATGCAGGAGAGGGTGAATGGTGGTGGTGGTGGTGGTGAGACATGTGTGGTAGAAAGTGTTTTGGTTTTTGGCTGGGGGAGGAAGATGAAAAAAACCTTTCGATTTTTTAAGTATGTTGAAATTGAGGGTGGGGATGGTGACAGTGCTTTGAAATGACTGTTTCCAGTAGATATTATATAACACAGACCATGCTCAGATGAGATGGCCAGATGGGAAAATGCTGATTTGGGCAACACCAGCTTAAAAATTGAGTTGTCTAGGGATCTGTAAGGAGTAGGGAGGGAAGACGGCCAAGAGCTGAGACTTGGAGAATGTTTGTAGGGAGAAGTGGAAGAAAAGCAGAGTCAAGCACTGCCCGAGGGGGTGTATGTTGTGCGGAAGGCGTCAGCGGTGCCCACGGGCACAGCAGGGATGTTAGTGCTTGGGAGGGGGCTGGGGCTGCAGTATAGACGCAGAAGGGCTACTTTTTCATTGCTGATTAATTCTGTTTAGTAAGTTTACAGGCAAAATATGGGGTAAACTACCTTCCATTCTTGTCCTTTTGCTGTTAACATCCAAACATTGTTCAGGTATAAATCTTAATTAGTTCCATTTTCCGTCTATATCATTTCTTACAAAGTAACTTTGAAGAATTCTGACCCCCCCCTCCTCTTCCTCTACTCGGGAAAGTGTTACAAAGTGAATGAATGTATTTTAAATGCAAAGGGTGTGGGTTTTGCCATCAACTCTGCCGTTTATTACCAGACAACTTTGAGAACAATCTGTACGACTCTATGGTTTGGTCTTACAGTTTGTAAAATGGAATTCATATTAGCTTCCACTGACCAGCAAAGGGTTATCAAATGTAAGTTAATGCTGCAAATGACTTTGCTCCCGCAGCTGGGAGGCGCCGTAGGCCGGGGAAGTTATGTTTATGAGTGGTAGAGACGACTTGTGCTTGGGGTATGAATCCATTTGAAACATTTATGGGCAACTGTAACTGGCTTTCTTCGGATTTCAAAATGACACATAAAACATCTCTTCAGAATTTTAATTGTGCCGTAGTACTTGATTGCTTTTATTTCCAAATGGCTCTGTCCTCCGGCATGCCTGAGGCTGTGTATCTGTGGTTGCCAGGAAAACTCTTGGTTTGTCCTCATGCATCCAAATGATTGGGTTTTTTTTTTTTTAAAGCTAAGTTTTTCATCATAAAAGTAATATATGTGCTGATTAGAGAAAAATCAGAAATACATGCAACAGAAGAAAAACATAAGGAATTCATATCCCCGACACTCAAAACATCCCTGCAAGAACATTTCTGTGTCTTTCTTTCCAATGACTAATTAAAAAGCCTAAACTAAATGATATCCACGCACACTTTTGCATTCATGATCTCACTTAATCCTCTTCTCAGCCCTCTGGGGTGGATGGTGGTCATAGCTTAGCGTGACTCATCAGGGGTCTGAGTATCAAAGAATGCAAGTGACTTGCTCAAGGTCACGTGTAGCACGGGCGGATGCGGGACGTGTCTGCTGGTTCAGGAAGGCCTGGCTGCTTCCCCCGGAGGAGGCTGCATCTTGACAGTCTTGCCTGCCGGGGTGGCAGCTGCGGCCTTAGGCTCTGAGAGAACCTGGGTGCTGTTTCAGTACCGTTGTATCAGTGTGTTGATGTGACAGTTGGTGTCACCTTCTCAAACCAAGTGGCAGGTCTCCCTTCTCTACTACCTCAGACTCTTGTAGCCAGTGATGCAAAAATTGAGTTTTTATTTCAACTTGTTGCTGTGTTTTCTGGAGTGCTTGAAGGGGCCTTTTGATTGCTTAAGGATCAACTCGCTTTACACGCCTCTGCCTTTTCATACTCCAGGGAACCTCGTCAGTGAATGCTTCATGCTTTTAGCTGGCCTGCAGTTGCCATGTCTCTTCTTCCATCTCAACAAAGCGCGATGTCGGAAGAGAGGTGCATGGCAAACACTCGGTTTGGCTGATGTTTGGAGCCCCTGGTGAAAAGCAGCCACATGGGAGCCTGTTGATACACACCAAACTCCTGAATGACATGATTGTTCTTGTAAGATTCAGATTAAATTTTAAATAGTAGTAGTAGTAGACGACGACTTTATTTTTAAGGAAACTTTTAGATTTATAGAAAAATTGCAAAGATAGTACTGGTGGTTCCCATGGACCCCACATTCCATGTGCCCTATTAACATCTTATATTAGCATTGTACATTTGTTGCAATTAATGGGCTAAAACTGATGTACCATTTTAAATTAAATTTATACTTTATTCACAATTCCTTGGTTTTTACCAAATGCGTTCTTTCTTTTCCTCAGTCCTATCCAGGACACCTTGTTGCCTTCAGCTGTCACATCTCCCTGGGCTCCTCTTGTCCATGTCAGTATCTCAGACTGTCCTCGTTTTTGGTGACATTGATGGTTTTGAGGGGTGCTAGTTGGGTATGTGTTAGGACGCACCTCTTTGGGGATTTATCTCATGATTAGACTGGAGTTACGGGTTTTGAGGAGGACTAGCATAGCTAACAAGTGTTCTCGTCATCTCGTGTTACAGGCACACACTATCCACGTGACTTCTCACTGCTGATGCTGACCTTGACCATCTGGCGGACATAGGGTTTGCCAGCTTTCTCCACTGTACAATTACTCTTTTCAGGTGAACTTTTATCATGGGTTCTTTTGGAGGATCCCTGACCTATGTCATTTTAACATTGCATCACTAATTTCCACTTAGGAAGTATGCAGCTAAAATGGAAGAATGATGTCATCATTTGGTTAAGATTGAGGGCATGAATCTGAACCAAGGAAATATCTTTATCCTTCCTGGGACCACCACCTCCACATCACCCTGGCACAAGGAGCTGCTCAGTTAGTCCCGCAAGGTTTTCTTTAGGTCTCAGATGTTGGGGGCTAATAAAATGCTTAACGAGTTCCCGGGGTTTTGTCCCTGGCTGCTTCTGCAGCTCACGATGGATGTCTAAACTTTTTTTTTTCCACTTAGATTTTCAAAAGAATATTTATCTTCTACTTTTGGAGATTGAGTTTCCTTTTTTAAGTGCATGTAGGTGCTGTTAATAATTTCCCTTTAAAGCCAGAACTCCAGGTATGAGGTTTAAATTTTCTCTTAGCAGTAATTTCATCAGTTTTTTTTCCCCGATGGCCCTCTGGTTGGCTAAGGTGGACCCACTGGTATCCCCTTAAACCCTACGTTTTCTAGTTACCAATACATCATTGTCACTTTCACACCAATGGTGTGGTCTAGTTACACAAACACTGCTACAAAGTCTAGGAGCTTGGATTCTGATCTCCTAGATTGATTTCAGGCTTTACTCTTTCTGAAAGCCCTTTACTGCATTGACTAAGTTGAGCTTCCTGGGCCCAGAGAGGCTCCTGAAAGGAGAGAGTGTGGTTTCCATTTGGTAGAGGGCAGGCCTCAGATGCAGATTTCGACAAGGGGCTATAAACCAAGCGGGAGGCAGGACCAGGGCCGTGTCAACTTTGCTGGCTTTTCCGTAACCTTGAAGGCTTTCACTGCAAAGGTTACTGCCTGAAGAACTGGGTCTATAGATTCTGCTTGACCAGCCCTAATCAGTCTGCAGATGACAAATTCAGATGAGGAGACAAGCACGAGGTCCCATGGGAAAGCAGAGCTGGCCATCACTGAAGATAACTGTGTTAGAAATCAAAATACCTGCTGTGTGCTTTTCCATGATGAGGCCGGAGCACACTGGCCATTTTATCAAAATAGCAAGATACCTAGCATCAGAAAAGCTGGAAGCTCCTCCCCAGTATAAGCTATCCATCTTTCTTATTTAGGTAATTGTGAGTTTTGTTGTCCAAATATACATATGGAAAGCAAAATGTATGCAAACTATGTATTTTATAAGGTCATATTTTTCCCTGGGTTTTCAGGCTCGAATGTATATATCATTCAAGACCTGCTTTTATAATTTACCAATAAGATCACTCTATAAAATGCATTCTGATGTCTCACAGCTGTGTATAATTTATTCGGTCTATCCGTGCAGTAGAAATAAAACTTTTATTTGCATCATCTAAAAGAAATACCAGTGTATAAATACACAAGCAAAACTCATAAGAAACAGTCTTCTGAGTATAGATACTGCTAAGGGCATATTGTATAACCAATTAAAAAGCTGAGATGGCTTCATTATCCATGCATGTAGATAATAAATACTGTTGTCACCAAGGAGTGTAGTTACTCAATTTCTTAAAAAGGTCACACAGTATTCTGCAAGTGCTGCTGTAGTCTGCCTCTAAAACTCTCCTTAGAATATTTAGAAATAATCTTCTAGAGGAAAACATTTTAGGCAAAAAGAGCTGCTTTAGGATTAAGATGGTGGAATGTGTAGGTGAAAAGGGCAATGTTCAGTGGTTGGAATATTTTGCCTTCAGGACACCAAAAAACTCTGCCTTTCTCTGCCCCCCTCCCCCCCACCAAGAGCCTTAGGAAAAACAGTCCCGAGGACTAAGGATGTTCTTTACGTTTGGTTTGTGCGACCTCGGCCTGATTATCACGTGGGCCTCACCTGCACCTCCCTGGCTTCCCCAAAGTCCAGGTGTTGAGTTTCTGCCCCTTCTGGTCCCCTCACTGTCGGGCACATGCTGGTGGTTTGACGAATAGACCTGGATTTCTTGTGCCATCCACTTTCTCCTGAGACATGGAGCCCCTCAAGTGAGTTCTACCAAGTGCAAAGGCTTTTCCTCCACGTGTCTGAGGCCTGGGTGACAATCTTCCGGGCCTGCGGCATCGTGGCTGGAATCCCTGTGGAAACTGTCCCAGCCTCCGGAGGGCTGGGGGTGGTGGTGAGTGACGCAGGACTCCCGTTCGAGAGCCCTTCCTCTGCCCGGTTTAACAGGCTCTCGGACAATTGGATTTGTGATGAACAACTCAACAATTTTCACCCAGAACTGCCAGGAGCCGCTTACAATTAAAGCCGGTTTGTTTACGTGGAAGATATTTTAAAATGCTTGCAATCGCTTTCTCGACGGCTTTAACTGACTTTGCAAGGTTTTCAGTAACGGCCTCGGTGACTCTTGGCGTGAGTCTGGTTTTCAGTAGTGGAGGGGCAAGTTCAGATGGATCTCCAGTTTTCACTCCATAAGTGCTGATATTTGAAAGCTGCCTTAATCCAATTCAAATAACACGCCGGCTGTCACATAGGTGCAGCTAACTGCACTCGGTGTAGTCTGGCTCTGCAGGAGCTACGGGACTGGATTAGAACTCGTTGTTTCTGTACATGCCAACATGTGAATCCCATGGGGTCCCGAGCAGGAGTCCCGGGTCTTGGCAAAGCTTCGAGAATGACGCTGTTGAAGCCAGCCGACATGCCCTCCTCGCATCTGAGTGTGCTCCCGGGGCTCCCGGGGCTCCCAGGCTTGGCCTCGCTTTGTGGAAAACGCAGGGGCCGCCTGTGCCGCTGAGCTTGTCCCGCGGCGGGCTGTCTCGCTCGGCTTGTGTGCTCCCCATCTCCCCCACTAATAAAAAAAAATGGGGGCCTTCTTGGCCACCCTATGGTCACTGTTTTTCATATTTATAAGTTTTGGAATAATGTTTGATTTACGAGAAGATGACAAGTTTTGCAGAGTCTCCATCATCTTGCGTCGTAGCGCTTGTTGCTCTCTGAAACGATGGTCTCATTTGCTTAGCTGTCTCCTTCCTGATAGACTGTACGTCACGACAGCATCTTCATCTGTGTCCCCCTCTCAGGTGCACGGGACCAAGGCAGCTGGGCCCTCGAGAGTTGAGGGTCCTTGGCAGTGAGGCAGAAGGGGTGACGTTGGGGGGTGCTGGCCTGAAGCAGAAAGAGTGGGCTTTTTGAATAGAAGCCATCAGGTCTTAGAGCCACCTACAAGAACGCACATCTCGAGGTTAATAAACACCTGTTGAGCGAGTGAACAAACAGCGGGCAAACAGCTGGACCCGGGGCGCGTGCGTGGTGGCGGTGCTGGGGCGAGTTCTCCAGAGCCTGGTGCTGCCTTGGAGCGCACTGAGGGGTGGCCTCGGCCTGGGGAGGGTTCATTCAGTCAAGATGTCTGTGCTGCCAGACCTTGCGCCCCTGAAGCCGGGAGAGGACCTCTGTCTTTACTCAGATGGCCGATCATTTCCTCGTCCAGCCAGCCCTCTGCTGAGGTCCACGGTGTCACCGCCTGCAGCCAGCACGCTCTGCTTTTACTGCCCGCTCCCTTGTCCCTCGAACACAGGTTCACCCCAGTCCTTCCTCCCCCCACGAGGCCCAGGGAACCGGCTCACCTCTCTGCCACCTGACTCAGTTCGTTCCTGTTTCCCCTTCGGCCCTTAACGACGGGGGGAGGGGGGAGGGTTTAAATGTATTGTGACCAGCTTGAGAATTTTCCGGAGAGGCTGTGTCAGACAGTTAATACTCGAGGAGTAATCCTTGTGTAACCTGAATGTAACTGCAGACTTCCACATCGAGAATGATAAAATGGTGTGGATTTAAAGGTATTTGGGGAACTGTAAAATGTCTAGGATTAAAATTTCAATACCATTTGTGCCCAATAAATGTGAACTCTTTAGTAACTTAAGACTGTGCTATTATGACTCAGGTCTGAAAATTATGAGTCCTGGTTGAAGAAATGGGAATAACATGTGAGGCAATCTGGTCCATCCTTGAGCTTGGGGGAGACACTGTGGTCCTGCCGAATAGCAGGGGCATGACCTCATAGGGGGCCAGGCCCAGGGAAATGACCATACACTCTCCAGAAGAGAAGAATGTTACACTTTCCGTTAGGATTGTTTATAGAAATGGGGCTAAAATGAACCTGGGTTGGTATATTAACTGGTTCAACAGACAAGACCCTGAGAAACGAGATCATATAATAGTTTATTGAATGACTTGATTTTTTTTCTTTTTCTTTTTCTTTTTTTTTTTTACATAAACCAGTCTAGTCAGTCTGAACTGGAAAATTAATTTTGTCTATAGAGTCACTTACTAAAGCATATAAAATTAGACTCTGTAAGTACAGAGAGGAGAATTGGCATTGTGTTTAACAGATTCACTGGGACTTAAATAAATGGATTTAGTCTTAATACAGCTAAAGCCTTGAGACTTTAATAGAGAGCTGATCTTAAGCATTAATTCATCATTTCAAAAAGTTACTGTTTGTGCATTTTTGTCGCTTGTTGAAGGACTGATTTATATATACTTTATGATAATAAGCTGGGATATGTTATGTCTTGAAGGCAAAAAAAAGCCTTTTGTTTAAGATACAAAATTTTAATGGTTAAATTGACAGAGAATTCATCAGTTTTAACACTTACTATGACTTAATGGATTATAGTGTTTCCTGGGTTTATTTAACTTCCAAATATTTTCACTGTGTCATTTATGTGATAAGCTTCTGATGCCAAACTTCTCCCAACCAGAATGAAAAATGGGGCTGTTTTCCTTTTGGTCCAGGGGGGAGCTTTCGGGACCACGGGGGAGCTCATGAAGTTGTCAGTGCTTCTCTTCTGAATGGAGACCTCTGGATCCCAATGAAGAGCGTCGACTTAAAGGTCAGTTGTTCTTTTTTTTTTTTTCCTCCTCCTCCGCTTTGAGACTGCCGAATTTTTAAAATCACATTAACTGCATTCATATTCTTTTCATTCAAGTTTTATCTTTACCCATTTTAATGCCAACTCCTTACAGAATGAAAGCTTTTATTCTTATGAGAGGGTAAAATACAAACCAATTTTGATGAGGCAGCTCTGATGAATGTCCTAGCATTATTTATGTCTATTAAAAGTTATTTTTCATGCAAACACCAGGGGTTACAATCCCAGATATAAAACTCCCATGTTCGGTTTACTTGAATGTTGAGTATTTTTCTGTATTCATGATTGTTTAATCTACATTTTGGTTTTTTGAATTGCTTATTGGTAAGAACATATTTATGCAACTTTAAAAAACTTTATTAATGAGTTTTAATGCAGTCTAAACTTTGTTTACTTTGACACATTTGATCTGGGCCTTTTAATGACATAAAATAATTGAAGTAATAGTGATTAAATGTAATATTTTGGTGAGTTTTATCTGCCAAATGACCTGACTTAAGTTTCAGAACTTGTAGTAACAGTTGGAAAGTGATAAAATCTATAGAAATATGAGCTTTTGGAGAGATCATACAGATGGCTTTGTCCTTGTGTTGTATAGAACTATTTTTAGATCATTTTGTGTAATAGAAAACAGATTATTTTAAAAGAGTAGTTGAGATTGTGAAAGTCTTTGTAGCTTCCTGGGTTGATTGAAGTGGGCCACCTTTCTGCATACTGATAAGACGATTCACATCTAGAGAGCTCGTGTTTGAGTCTGAGCATTAACGAAAGTTGATGATTTGATTAAATGAGTTAAATGCATAATCTGCACTTTATAAAACACTTCTGTTTCATAAGTTGGCTGCAAACTGAGTATACAAAGTAAAAGTCAAATGTGGTATTAATGATATTTCCTGGAAGAAACACTTAAGATATTAAAGAAAATTTCATCATACTATTTATCAGCAAAACTAGAAAAATGACAGATACAAGAAAAGGAGTGTACTCTTTTATAAAGAAAGTCTATTTAAAATATTTGTAGGCACTAATCATATAAAAACATGACATAATCTAAAGTTTCTTGGATGGTGGAAGCCTTTATGGGAACTTTTTCTGGTGGGTACAGTTGCCAGATTTAGCAGATAAAACTCCAGGATGCTGGTTATGTGTGATTTCAGATAAATAATGAATTCTTTTTATTTTTTTTTTAGTGGAAGTATGTCCCATGCAATATTTGGGGCATATCCATGCTTAAAAAAAATTAGTATTTATCTAGAATGCAAATTTAATTGGGTGTCCTGTGTTTTACCTGGCAGCCCTCTAGGGGGAGGGTGTCACCTGAGGGGGATGGGCTTGCCACAGTGGCACCAGCTGAGGTCTGCTCTGGTTTCGACCTGACCTCCAGCTTTCCCCCTTCCCGCCCACCCGCCATCTGGCAGCCTCTCCAGGAGCCTGGAAGGGGAGTCGGCTTGTCTGCTGCTAACTGAGCTTATCGCCCGATGACTGTGGGTGGAAAGCACCATCTTTGTAGAAACTAGGAAAGACCACCATCATTGTTTGGTAGCTGTCCCGACTCCCCTGGGAGTCTCCCTCCGGGATTAGAACCAGGTGGGTGGCAGGCACATACCTACTGCACTAACGTAACTCCAGGTTGCTGACGACATGTAAAGGGAATACAGGGACCTAGGTCAGTTGGGAACGGTATTTTGTTGTGCCACAAGGCTCATCTTAATACGTAGCATATGGCATCAGCATATGGCTGTCTAGTTACCACGTGTGCTCATGTTTGGTGGGTAGCCGCCAAAACCCTGCATCGACAGGGGTACATGTCAGTGTCTGTTGCGTGTGCTGGAACTCTCCGTGGGGACGGCGTGAGTATGAGCTGCGGGGACGGCGTGAGTATGAGCTGCGGGGACGGCGTGAGTATGAGCTGCGGGGACGGCGTGAGTATGAGCTGCGGGGACAGGGAATCTGGCTGGTGGCGGATGTGTGTGTATGTGTGTCCTTGCTATCAATAACAGCCAAGATTTTAATCTTAAACTGCACCAACATACAGTGTATCTTCAAGTGTACAAAGCCACGCTCACCTTAGCATTTTCGCAGGACAGCTAGGCCTGTCGTGCCTCCGAATACAGACTTTTAGAGTTGCTCCTTGCCCCTCCGCTTTCTGTTCTGCCACGTCTTTAGCTGAGCAGTCACAGGTGCCAGGTGTGCGATCAGCGAAGAAGGCAAACGGGCTTTCTGCCTCTGCGGCTTACGTTCCAGTGAGGGAAACACAAATAAAATAAATTCCGATGGTGGCAAGGGTTAAGAAAGAAACAGCAAAGCGTGTGAGGGGCCATGTCATTTGCTGGGTTGGCCGGGAAAGCTCTTTCTAAGGGATGATAAGATGTCAAACTTTTTCAGTAAGCTCCAAAGAGCCGGCCTTGGGGGGAGCGAGCATGCGAGAGGCCGGTGTGCAAAGGCAGGGAGGGAGGTGCAGTACGTCTGCAGCATGGGACAGGCAGACCTGGGTGACACCCAGGGCTCCTTCCACAAGTGACCGTGCTGTAGAAATGGTGGCCTGCAGCAAACAGACGAGTCCTGAGAAGATGAACCGTGGCCACCTTTCTCTGATAATTGAACACTCTGATTTTATGTGACTCATCCGAACATAGTGTTAATTTTTTGTCGTCATTCCTCCCTGGGGGTGACACATGCAGTATTCCCTTTTCCCCCTGGAAACACCTAACTCTAAAACCTCGTGTCCATCCGGGTGGCCGGCACAAGCCCCGCGAGCCAGGGCTGGGAGTGTGCACGGGCAGGCTCGGGGTGGGGATGCCACGAGAACGTAGGGACTTAGGCAGTAACGTAGGGACTGGGGACCTGAGATTCTAGGTCATACTCTTTCTGGTTTTCCTCCAGATAACTTTCAAGAATTATTTTCCTAAAACTAGAATCTGACTGATCACAAATCCTCTTGAAACCCTGGGATGTGTCCCTCACGTCCAGTGAGAAGGCAGACTCCGGGCTTGGCATAGGAAGCACATCACTGTGCTCGCGTGCGACTCACCACCGCCCTACCCGTGGACTCGGGGTTCTGACCTGCACCCCCAGCACCAACCTGGACCTTCCATCATCCCTGGACGCAGTGTGCCAGGCCGCCCTGCGACCTTCAGGCGGAGCTGGTCATTCTCCCCACCACGCTTTGTCCCAAAGTACTTTGCACTAAAAGGCAGCAACAAGTCCCTGGAGACTTTCTCATTCCCCAGGTTTATAAATGCCCGTTGTGCGCTTGTGCTGGAGCAACCTCTCTGCCCTGATGGGTGGTCAGGAAAGGTGTCTCTGTGAGGTGACATCTGAAAATGACCTGAACGCCAGGACAGATGGGCCAGCCACACACATCTGGGGAAGAGCGTCCGGGAGAGGGAACAGCGAGTGGAGGCTGGAACAGAGGGCTGGGCAGTGTGCAGAGAGGTCAGCGGCAGAGGCCAGAGGGGGTAGAACTGCGAAGGGAAGACGCCTTGGGGCTCGGAGCCTCGGCGTGTGGGTGAGCTTTAACAGCGAGCGCTGACGGCTGTGCCCAGACCGAGCATGGGGCCCAGGACAGAGCCGAGGAGAGAGAGGGTGTCGAGATTAGGGCAACTGTCCAGAAATGAGAGGGGGGCAGCTCAAACTCTGCTCATGGGCTGTGGCAAGGAGCCATCAGACTGGGGGACATGTTTTGAAGGGAAGGAAGTCACGTTCATAATCTCCACTATTCAGACTACTCAGTTGCTTCGTAGTTATTCAGAGTAAAAAAGTCAAAGTTCTTACAATATGTAAGGTCCTTCACGTTCTACCTTTTCGTTACCACGCTCACCTCCTCCACTGCTCACTGCTCTCATGCCACAGTGGTCGTCAGGAGTCTGGGCACACACCTGCCTCAGGGCCTTTGCACTGGCTGGCTGTTCACTATGCCCGGAGCTCTTCACCTAACTAGCTGCACAGTTCACTCCTTCACTTTCTTTAGACTTCTTTCAAGTCCCGATTGTAAGAGTGCTGCTTTAGACATGTCTTTCCCTGACTAGTTTTCCCTCAAGTACTTATCATCATTTGACATCCTTCATATTATATTTTACTTTTCTATTAACTGTTTGTATCCACTGACCGGACTGGAAGCTCTACAATGGCAAGGATTTTTACGTGCTTGTTTCCATTACTCCGGGACATAGATAAGGACCCAGCACAGGACAATTGCTGAATAAATTTATTGAAAGAGTTAATAATGAATGGAGTTTAGTAGGTCATATGAGTGGGTGACATGCATGTTCCTGTTCACTTGACCGGTAAGAACCAGGCTGTCTACACCCAAGTCTGGCTCCCTGACGCAGCAGTCAGACGCTGTCCCACCCAACGGGAGGGCTGCCAGGGCCCCCTCACACCACCAACTTGTTCTTGCACAGGGCGTTGCTCTTGGCTCGGGGCCTGCGGGGCCTGGTAGCCGATGGCGGGCTCTGTGGAGAGGCCAGGCGCCCTGCTTGTACTCGCCGGACGTGGAGGGCGGCCGCCTGGTTTTCCGCCTCCCCGGTCCACACGGCGATCTTGTCCCCCTTTAAGCGGATGCTGGGGGGGACGGCCCCCCACCCTCGTCGACGTGTTCCTCGAAGCTCTCCCCTATCGGGCGTGGCAGCGTGTCCAGCCGCGGCTGGCCCAGCTCACCGTGGCGCCGCTGCTGGCCAGGCCGGCACCCCGCCTATTCCTGCCGTCTCCCCGGGTGGGCTCGGTGCCGTCCTTGAGCAGGGCGCAGTCGCAGCCGGAAGAGAGCCTGCTGGCCAGCTTGATGTGACCGTACAGTGCCCACAAGTCCTCCACGGTGCCGACCTTGGTGACCAGCTCTCAGTTGGTCGTGCCAGTGGGTTAGACATGGCAACGATAGTGCCCGCGCTTGGGGACGATGCCCTGGGCACATGGTGGGGGGAGGGGGGCTGCCATCATAAACATCCCCGAAGAGGAAGGACCCC